ATCAAATTTCTGTTAGGAATCGTATTTCGGGTTTATTTGTTGTTTACGCTATCTACCTATACGAACCAAGCATCACGATTCCCGACAAATGGACTTGCAAGTTGCATGCGTTAGGCATAGGGTTGCCAGATCGGAAGGCCAAAATATCTGGACAAAATTTGAAAATGTCGGGATTTTGGGGTTGTTGTCGGGAGAAATAAATATGAAAAATAAAAACGTAAAATAAAAAAAATATATTTTTTTAAATTAATAGGCTAGAAAAAGACAACATTGTTGACGTATAACCAATTCAATTACACTTAAATTTTAGGTTGTCACATGTATTTTGGCATTGGACTTTACTGAGTCCCCCACTTTAGGTCATTTAGTAGGATCAGAAATTATTGAAAATTCACACAATTTACTTGAAATAAGTTCTATTTAATTACTAACGATTTCTCTCTTTGGTATATAAATTATATAGCAAACTAAACACCCCTTTACATTATGTTCTCAGAAAAATAGCGTTCTTGCAAGTATTGAATAGGTCGTTTTTAAAAAATGTTCAGCATTGACGCAAGAAGGGGTTTTCTCACTATCGGAAACATTCCTTAATAAGGTTATTTTTCTACTACCGAAGAATTTGTCATCCAGCCTGTTTTTAGATGACTCATTAGTTTTTTCATTACACTTTCAAGTTATAGGATAGCGCATACTGCACTTTCCAATGCTAAAATTACTACTTGGAACAGTACAAAGTATAAATACGCTTCTGAAATCCCCTTGCTGTTTGCATTCGTCAACCTGTTCACTATTATTATCAATATGGCTTATACTTTTTGTTAGAAACTCCCATATCAATATCTATTTTCAACATTCGTCTTCCCCTTTCAACATAAAATAGTTAGACTAACAATACAGTAAATGATCTAAAGTAGGCAAAAGAGATGACGTGAACTTCCCGAGAAGCCGTTTGTCTGGAGATTTTGATTTTTGTCGGGAGTCTGGAGATCATTTAAAATGTCGGGAGAATCCAGACGAATCCCGATCATCTGGCAACCCTAGTTAGGCATCACAGAACTCAGATAGTAGATAATATGGTCGACAAAGAGATTTAAATTGTCAGCATAGGTACTTTACCTAAGTAACTTACCATTTCACAATGTATTTTTTTACCCTTTATTAACAGCCCTTAGAAACCACGGAAAGTGCGTTGTGACGTAGTAAGGAGAAAAGATGCGAAGTGATACGGACACACGCGTCTTTTTGGTAAGAGGATTTACGACCGCAGAACCAGACATCTTGTAGCTTTGAGGCAGAAGTTTAGTAACAGTATTTAATGGACTTGCGATATGCCAGGTTTACACGCTTGCCAAGTCTCGGCAAGCATCCACAAGCACAAGCATGCAAAGAGCGCGTTTGGCTTGGCTTGAGGGAGCTTGTGTCGGTTTTTGGAGACAGATCAAAAAACGCGCTTGCGGCAAGCGCTTGCGACGCATTCACTCGTTAGTGATGGGCAAGGGAAAAATATATCGATATATATCGAATCTATATTTTTAAACCGTATCGATATATATCGCGTGATAAATATATAGATATCGATATATCTTCATCATTTGCATGATGTGAAGATAAGGTCTAAAATTTTATTCACCGACAGTTGGACGACGCAAAAAACGATACAACATTTTAAAATATATCGAAATTGATAAGAATTCGATACTCTAAAATAAATATCGATATATTGCGATTTAAAATATCGACGATATTTATCGATACTTTTATTAAAAATATCGATAGTATTACGTAGTGCGCGTTTAGTAGCCATTGTGATTTCGCGACGAATGCATGTTTAGTTCTTTGTTTAAAATGAGTGGCTGGTCGAACGAAGAGAGTTTATCGTTTCTGGAATATTACCAGAGCGAATCGTCTATCTGGAACCCCAAAGACGTTAATCATAAAGATAAAAAGAATGTCGCAGAATGCTTGGAGTCGTCTTGCCTAGTTAACGGGAAAGCCAGTAAAAGAATTAAAAGCCAAAAAAGAAATATTGATGACAAGTTTTCGCAAGCATTTGAAAAAAAAAACAGGAAACAGGAGCTTTCCTTGTTTTTCTATTACTTTGCTTGTATTTTAAATAAAAGTATGTTAAACTAAACGCAATAGCCGACACAAGTTCGATGGCCGCGATGCTTGGGTGTACGTAACACAGTGACGCAATGCCAAACGAGATTTGTGGACGCTTGGGGCTTCAAGACGTTTGCCAAGGCTTGGCAAGCATGGAAAGGCACCATAATGACGATGATGATTGATGGCGATATGTGATAATAAATTCCACTTCTCCAGTTTTCCTTAGTGGACTTTAGTAATACCTTATATGAATGACCTTCACTGCCTTGGACATTTTAGTTTATCAGTGGGAGCGCTTATTTTTTGTTTCTTTTCTATAGAATAAGGATGACAAACGAGCACACAGTCCGCCTGATAGTAAGTGGTTGCTGTGGCCCATAGACATCTACATCGATCCTCAATTATGAATCAAAACGCAGATGTGTTGTCATCCTCGAGGACTAAGATGGATTGCCTCGTTTCCAGTAAAAACGGTCTCCGGTTGTCTACATTTACTATACAAAACACAGAAGCATCGTCTCCTACACACAAGCGGCTTGCGGTGGCGGCCAGTTGTATTCGTTTGCAATGTAAGTGGATCTGCAAACACGTACGGTCACCATGCGGCCTGCGAGCGGCTGGCCGCGGCCGCGTGCCTCGCCCCCTCGCCCCCGCGTGTGTGTTAGCGTGCGTGCGGCCTATCGGTGGCCGCAGTGCGGTTAGTTGCAAATTTTTACAACAGGCCACGCGTGTACCGCGTGAAAAATGATACTAAATACAAAGATTTTAATAGAAACAGTACAAAATTATCCATTACTTTATGACACTTCACACTGTGATTACAAAAACATTAGGATTAAAAACATAATAAGACTTGGTCACGGTTACCCATGTTGACTGAGGTTCGATCGTAACACAGATACCACAGCAAATGGCGCTTTAGGCCGTTACTGCGACCGTGGTGGTGTTATTGCAGCAGCTGGAGCTGCGGCTCGCGGTTAGCTGCCATCGCAAGCCGCTTGTGTGTGTGAAAAACGCTTTAAGCTGCTATTTTAGCGCTGGTTTTCTGTGAGAGCGTGGTCCTTCACCGGTCGAGCCGACCCATTCGTGCTACAACTATAATATAGTTGATAGCCATGCGGCTATACCACGCTTAAAATGAGTTTAGAGTGTCCGGTCTATTCAGTTTTTATACAGAGGCTACATAGAGGCAGTTTTTAGAACAAGCTCATGTAGGTCGTCTATGCGAACGCTTATAGTTGTTTACTGAATCATATTTTCAATATTTCTTAATATATAATGAAAAGGCGCTAATATATTATATCAGTTACTTTATTAAATAATTTCATTTTACAACCAATATTGAATGAAGTAACATTTCATCACATTATCGTACATTACATATAAATTATAGACAGATTATATTATTATATACTTGCGGTTACAGACACATAGTACATACACATAACATGAGGTTTATTTTGTAAAAAGTAGTTTTACTTACGTGGAATATGAATTCTACTAAATACATAATATTTGCTAATGAATAACTAATTAGAAACAAGCCAATACAAGAAGAAATTCTATAACCTTTACTACCTATAAGATATGTTTTGATTGTCTACGAAAAAAGCAACAACTCTCGTGTAACAAATAAATCATAGAATAACAGTCTGATCACACGAATTATTACAAATTAAATAATAAAATGTTTGTCGTCTAGTTATTTACAACAGTTAGCTAACTAAATAACAATCAACCTAACGTTATATCAAGTTTATACCCATATCTATATCGTCTAAATACTGACTGTGAATGCACGCCGCGCAACAATTCATTATAAAATCATTGATGGTTCTCTACGAAATACTTCTAAGCTAAATAAATAAGTCCAGGCCTTGTAATTGTGACGCAGTGGTGCTAGTGGTATCCAATTATTTGCATTAAAAGCCAAGAAGTATTTAGGGATAGTTTTCTGGAATGCATTTATCGTTTACATACAATATCCTTGCGGCGTTCAACTTGGCGATGACACTAGCACCATCCGCCCTCTAAATAACACATTAATTATTTGATAAAATCGATAACACATCGTGTATATATAGATGTATGTCAAATAAATTTGTCAGTCATATGCCTGCCTTTTCCATAAAAAATTACATATTGTATAGCCTCCAAAATTTAAATATAATGTTTACTACAGTTTTATTAATTTTGAGCAGATTGATAATGTATTTAAAAATGTTTCCAATAGCTACTGAACAGTATAATGCTATTCTTGATTAAATATAAGTACTCTAAAGTTCAAATGTTTTTATTTCACCATTTGCAAAAGCATTGAGGTTCCTGTTCAGTTGTTCCAAATTCAGTTTCATCTCACTGAAAACCTTAACCAAATGGCGTAATAAAAATATTTTTTGTTAAATTGCTCACTTCATACTAACAATATAAATATATGGAAAACGCACCTACATATACAACCTGAATAACTTACCATGGCAGACCGCACAGATCCGGAATTATAGTAACATCACTAACGTCCAAACGTCAATTCACGAATGTAATCTTTTTTTGGTACTCGCTATCATTGTAAATTTGCCAGAGTCTTGATTTGATTGTTTCGATAAAACATAGAACACCACTCATTATAAATTGTTTTAAATGAACTCTGATTAGCTGTTAAGTGTAAAGTATTTAATATTTAATTTGTTTGGTACATGTTTAAATATGGCATATTGTTGTTTGATCTATATATGAGTGTCGTATGATGAGTGATGAATTGAGTGCAGGCAAGTGATCGCGAGTGAGTGCAGTGTTCACTGCAGCGCGAGGTTGTCTCGCTGCCGCGAGCAGAAGACGGCGCACAGAATGGGCAGCGCGCTCGTCAGCAGCCCCGCGGCCGCGGGCGTGCGTTATGCGAACGACTCCTTGCTGGGGCTCGGGGGCTTCGAGTTCGATCCCACACTGCTTCGGCTCTGCCGGCCTTCGGAGGTTTGCGATCTGTACAAATGAAGATTTGACTTGCGTCAAGCGATATGCACGCTAGGTGCTTTGTTGACAGATCTGTCTAAAAGTGGTGAGGAAACGTGATGAATATGAAAAAATATGAAAAATCAATGTTAGGAATAAATCAATGTTAATATATGATAAATAAAACAGACACAATAAACAAGCCAGAATTATGAATAGAAAAAGTGACATTGTGAGATTTTTCTATTCATTCACCATTATCTATTTTTATACATACTTATATAATATCATTAACAATTAAGCTAAGAATTCGCGAAGCCAGATTTAAGACCCCGGACCAATGAAGAAATTAAACACCAAATAATTTTAAACAAGTAAAAATCTTGCTATAAGTGGCTTATTGAACTAAAAGTGTATGACATTAAACGAGTTTATTGACATACGCTTTAATAATTATTGATTTGTTGATATTGATTTTTATGAATGTATTTGACCCTTTTTGAAATAAATGTTACCTGTAATGTATGTAACATAAACTTAAATTTGCATGCCAATGATAACCAAAACGTGACCTTATTTTACTGTACCACCTACAAATACCATGTTTTAAACAAATAAAGAAATTATTATTATTATTGTGGGGTATCTATAAAGTTTTCTCATCTGTTTGGGCTGTATAAATATATAATTCTAAATGAAAATGGTAGACATACATAAATATCAATAAAATAAAATAAATACATAAATAAATAAAAACCCAACCAGATGGAAACCCTCGGCAGGGGAGACCAAACGGCCGAGGGTTAGGGGGAAAGGGAAAGTAACCGGCGGACGATGCTGGTGGTATCGAGGAGCACTGCCTTCTGCATTTGAGCTTGGAGCGGTCCGTCACGGAGTCCTAATCACCTCAGATAACCCGAGAGGCTGACTGGGATTAACCCGTTCGCAGGAACAACTACAGGTATAATTTCGGTCGGCGGTCCACCCTACATGTCGGTCACCTCGTGAGCCAGGTCCAGATATTTTGTATCTGTTTCACGAGGTTCTCGTCATACGGAATGGTAATGTCGCCCAAAAATATCCTTGACTGTGTCCGGTCCATCAGCACAATATCAGGCTTATTCGCAAGAATGGTCCTGTCTGTGATGATGGCGCGGTACCAGTAAAGCCTGGCGCATTTTCGAGTACGGCTTCCAGCAAGTACTTATAGCAAGGCAGTTCCCGAACCACGAGACCGTATTTCAGAGCGAGCTCCTGGTGTAGTATTAGCACTATGGTCAACGACCTCAATAGTGTCTTCCAACGGCCTATCCGTTCCTATCTTAAGATAAACGTGGACAAAACAAAGATCACGTGCAAAGTTCATGTCACACTTATGCCGGTAGTTGTTGGTAGCACTACACCGGAAGTTGTTGACGAGTATGTTTACCTAGGACAATTTATCCAAATAGGTTAGTTCTATAATTTCCACCGAGAGGACAATCGACGGATCCAACTTGACTGAGCAGCGTTCGGAAAATTATGCGATCTATGAACAAGGCTATTGTCGAAGTTTCTCTGCGGAATAGACTTCGTAATAAGAAGTCGAAGTGGAATCAGAGTAACCGACATAGTGCAACAAATTAGTAAGCTGAAATGGTAATGGGCAGGTCATATAACTCGAAAAACCGAAATGTTTGTAAGTGGCAGCCTCGTACTGGTAGCGAAGTGTAGGCCGGCGAAGTAGGAGGACTTGGTAATAGATGTAGGCAGGGTTTTACAAAAGTTATAATTGTGGAGATCCTTTTCATATAAGGCCATGGGCAGTTTAAAATTACCCGTTTTTCTTAAAATAACAATCTTTAGCCGTGAACGGAAAAGGGAAGATCTCCCACAGGGCAAGATGTTCAGTCCGAGGAGCGGTCAACGCTCCATGTGTTGTTTCGGAGTTGTTCTATACAGGGTTATTTTTCAAAGAGTGGCCAAATTGTAACCTTAAATTCAAATATATAAATAACGATATACAGTTAATGCAGTTTTAGAAAATACGAGTAAATAAGGCTTCTACTTTTATTTGAAATTATACCAAATTCAATGTATACAAATTGACGTTTTACGAATGTGTGCGTGCGAAGTAAAATAAGTTAAAATAATACATTACCACGCATTTGAATTTAAAAGATAAAAATGACAGAATACAAGAAATTTTTTAATATTAATTTTTCATCACCTATATTAATATTACTTAATCACAACCTTCTCTGCTAATTTGGCCGGTTATTGTAAAATAACCCTGTATAAAGTTATACGATTTTGCTTATTAAATGCCGGAGCTAAGGCCGGCGTCAAACTGGGTCTACGTAACACTGTATATACAGATACGAGTATAGTGCGTTAACTTCACAACTTTAATAGCGCGATTTAGGCTTTGGTGCGTTTCGCTTATGACGCGATGACAGCATCGCCACAAATCGATTCGGTAAACACAGTAAAGTGAATTTCATGTAAAACTTTTGCTATCCTTTCCTTGTGTTATTTATTATTATTATATTACTTTCATATTACTCGCCAAGCTCGTCAGGAGAAATGAATTTGTTTATTACTAATTTCTATTAAGCAATGTAAGTAAAATAGATAAATAAATAGCCTTTGTTATTTTATGCAGGTTATACAAACTATCTATCACAATTTTATGCATCTTACTTTTGCGAATCAAGCTGCATACTATTTCTTGATGGTACAGATGGACTGAGCTTGTGATTGGCCAGGAATGTGCCTATTGACTCGTCAGAACTGTAGCTGTCGTTGTCGCTGAAATAAAAAAATATATTTTGTGAACAGTGTTTTGCAATTATAATAGTTCTCATACTATTGTTCGAGTAGCAGATATTATACGGCAAAGTCAATTTTAAGGTAGATCAACATCGTGTCTATAATAGTGTTAAGTTTTTTTTTTTTTTATATAAACGTTACCTCCACACTAGGATTTTCTCCTGTATCCTGGGGGCAGTTTACAAACATAAATTGTACAAGGACAAACATTCAGACTTGGAACAATTATTTGTAGGCCATACAAAAACTTGTTTCGTGCGGGTTGGAACCCTCGGCTCTTGCGCTACAACTTATTGCAAAGCCACTGCGCCACGGAGTCACCGAGTTAATGTTTTTAATAGCATTTTTAATAGTATAATATTTCTTTATGATTTTATATATAGAATATATGTTATAGCTAATTACGCAAAAATTATAGGAATTTTGCATGACCCTCGGTACACATTTCTTTCCTTGCTAATATTAGAGTTTGGCGACACATCTCCTATTTATTTTTGATGAGTGCCAGCCGTTGCGCCGTGTGTGTAGTGTGTAGTGTGTAGTGTGTAGTGCGTGTCACCTGTCGGAGTCGCGCTCGTTGTTGCTGGAGAGGTCGCCGGCGATTGCCTCCTGCAGCGCGTGCACGCGGCGCGCGGCGAGGCGCGCCTCGTCCCGCGCGGCCGCCGCCTCGCCCGCCGCCGTGTGTGTAGTGTGTAGTGTGTAATGTGTAGTGCGTGTCACCTGTCGGAGTCGCGCTCGTTGTTGCTGGAGAGGTCGCCGGCGATTGCCTCCTGCAGCGCGTGCACGCGGCGCGCGGCGAGGCGCGCCTCGTCCCGCGCGGCCGCCGCCTCGCCCGCCGCCGTGTGTGTAGTGTGTAATGTGTAGTGCGTGTCACCTGTCGGAGTCGCGCTCGTTGTTGCTGGAGAGGTCGCCGGCGATTGCCTCCTGCAGCGCGTGCACGCGGCGCGCGGCGAGGCGCGCCTCGTCCCGCGCGGCCGCCGCCTCGCCCGCCGCCGTGTGTGTAGTGTGTAGTGTGTAATGTGTAGTGCGTGTCACCTGTCGGAGTCGCGCTCGTTGTTGCTGGAGAGGTCGCCGGCGATTGCCTCCTGCAGCGCGTGCACGCGGCGCGCGGCGAGGCGCGCCTCGTCCCGCGCGGCCGCCGCCTCGCCCGCCGCCGTGTGTGTAGTGTGTAGTGTGTAATGTGTAGTGCGTGTCACCTGTCGGAGTCGCGCTCGTTGTTGCTGGAGAGGTCGCCGGCGATTGCCTCCTGCAGCGCGTGCACGCGGCGCGCGGCGAGGCGCGCCTCGTCCCGCGCGGCCGCCGCCTCGCCCGCCGCCGTGTGTGTAGTGTGTAGTGTGTAATGTGTAGTGCGTGTCACCTGTCGGAGTCGCGCTCGTTGTTGCTGGAGAGGTCGCCGGCGATTGCCTCCTGCAGCGCGTGCACGCGGCGCGCGGCGAGGCGCGCCTCGTCCCGCGCGGCCGCCGCCTCGCCCGCCGCCGTGTGTGTAGTGTGTAGTGTGTAATGTGTAGTGCGTGTCACCTGTCGGAGTCGCGCTCGTTGTTGCTGGAGAGGTCGCCGGCGATTGCCTCCTGCAGCGCGTGCACGCGGCGCGCGGCGAGGCGCGCCTCGTCCCGCGCGGCCGCCGCCTCGCCCGCCGCCGCCACCGCCGCCGCCTCGGCTGCCGCACGCGCCCTTGAAACCTCGCCCAGCTTCGCCGTAAGTGACGCGTTCTCTTCTTTTAGGTCTCTGTGCAACGGATAAACGTATTCTTTTATTAACACCCTTTTATAAGCGTCACGTGTATCTATCTTTATAAGAAAATCTGTTAATGTAATTTTCACCAACTTTTTTATTTATTTTTCAAACAAAAGTCCCGCTAGGTTTCTTGCTGGTTCTTCCCAGGACAGATGTTATTTTCGAAAAGTTGTAAATTATACAAAAGAGTGACCTTCAATAAGTATTATTTATAATCTACATTAATTAATAGAATCAGGCGTTACTTTGCGGAAGTCCATTATATTAAAGTTCGCAAAATATTACTTCGCGTACATCCGCTCGATAAAATAAAATGAACCGGTCAGCCACCGCAGAGTCTAGATTACCTGAGGATGCCTCGTGTAGAGGAGAAACACGTGTCGTATTGTAGTCAGTGGTATATCTTTCCTAGTGTAGTGGTGCTGGGATTAGTGGTGACAGTGACGCAATTGAGGGAGGGCGGGAGGAGCTCTTCGAACTAGGTAAGACACATCATTTTATTTTATCGAGCGGATGTACGCGAAGTAATATTTTGCGAACTTTAAAAAAGTGTCTGTTTTTGTAACTATATCTCAGCACTGAATAGACTAAACTATTAAATTAAAGTTAGTTACAGCATACTACGTCCCACTCCTGGGCATTCTTCCTCTCATTTCTAAGAAAGTTTTAGGGCTAGGAAAATCCGCTGCAACATAAAAAGTGAAGTATACAATTTGCAGGGCCTTATCGCTATAAACCAAAAGCGTAAATTATTGTCATAGACATCAATGTTTTTGATATAATGAATAATTATTTGTATTGTAAGAACAATTTTCTAGTTATAAGAATATAAATGTTTTGTAACAAGCGTTTCTGTGTCTTTTCTATGCAGTGGCTGCATAGAATAAAATCGTCTATGCGATCACTGCTGGACGCGCTGCTAGACGAACGTCTTTTTGGTTTGGTTGTTCGGATATTTTTTACAACTACAACTATTAAATTGGTAAAAGATAGGCGCGACAAGACATGGGTATAGAATATAAGTTATGTACATGGATTATTTTGTTTTATAAATATCAGAGAAAAAGTGGGCGTAGCTAAAAATTTAAACGTCGAAATTTATTGGTAGCTTTAGAGTATACATAACCAAGCTAGAGTATACATAACCAAGCTATAGAACTAACGTTATCGAGTATGAACAGTAAGCACGAGTATGAACAGTCTCGAAAATCACAAGGGCGACACTATAAGTTACGAAAGGACACGCGCGCTGATGGTTTCTCTCGACGGTATTTACTTGAATTTTAAGTTACTATGGTGAAATGTGCAGGTAACAAGATCTAAAAACGATTCACGGGAGTAAACTTAGAAGAATTATGATAGTGATATTATCGGTAAGTAATATTTTGATAAGAAAACACTGATTTTATCAAAACTAATCAGGGTGTCAAAGAGTGTTGTGAGAGGTGCGCGGCCGGATCGACACAGCACATGCTCCCTCGCCCGTGTTTTAAGCTTTCCTCGAATTAGAGTAATTTTGTATAACATGAATTTTGTAATAACATGATTTCTTTCGTAATAATAATATAATCATAGCGTTCGCGCCAAACGCTGTTTTGTTGTATCGACGTCAGAGGGCGCGCGGCTCGGTGCCATACCGGTTTGACTTTCGGTCGTGCGTAGAACGCGCAAGCGCAGCAGTCGTCTGCCAGCTGTGCTTGCCACAGCACGCTGTCAATTCTTGTGCGGGAACCGCGAAATAGTTTAAGCGTCTAGTAAATATCCTGTCTAGGATTTATAACGCGCATTCCTTGTTGGATAGCCTTTCCCGGGACTTATTGGGTCCGACTCAGAATCTGTATAAGTGCATTCAACAATATTAGCTAGTGCGGCCTTTAATATTCTAGAAATAACTGTTGCTACGCGAAGCGGTAGTGACCTTGGATCCGGACACTCCCTGTTCGTTTTTGTGTGTCAAACTTTATAACAACCGAGAGTTAGTGGCTTCTGTAAGTTAGTTACTAGTACGATAGAGTTAATGGACTGTCATCGTGACGAACGAAGAAAGTGACTGTGAACGGCGCCGCGGAAGATCACCTCATTTTGGAGCAGCCTGGAACTCGGCCGCTGCTGGTCGCCTATGCTTGCCAAGGCCCCACACATTCACACCTCACTGTACACTACTCGCCATCCACTATTAAACACACTCACGACCTGCCCAAGCCTTGGTGCGAAGTTAGCTTCGGATAATGGTAAGTACTATGTGTTTCTAGCTTTCTCCCATATAGTTTATTGTGATAGGAAATTCCAACGCTCCCCTTTATTGTTTAGTGTAACTAGATTTTCCACATTGGCCTTAGGAGGCCCGACCTACGTCTGCTCGTCGAAACTCAGCTGAATGGGCCCCTGAGGATTTGACCTTTATGGGAGCAGCCGTAGGCCGTAACACATAGTATAAGAAATTAAGATCCTTTTAATTACAAACCCATATATGTAGTTCAATTTTTAAAATAAAACTTTTGAATAGCTTTATTATATAGGTACATACGAGGGGTGCTCCAAAAGTAATGATAATCGGTTACTTCAGGTCCGCATAAAAATCCAAAAAAATATTTTTTGAATGCTTATATACTCACTACGTCAGCCTAAAAAATCATATAAATAGATCACGATTTCCGGGAGATACATTCCTTTGAATACGAACTGTCAAAGAGATAACATCAACATGGAGAAAAACGAAATTAGAGCTGTCATCAAGTACCTCTGTTTGAAAAAAATGTCTTCAAAAGACATACACAGTGACTTAGTGGAAACATTGAAGGACTCTGCTCCTCCATATTCTACAGTTGCACGCTGGGCCAAGGAGTTTAAACTGGGCAGAACATCCACTGAAGATGAACATCACGAAGGACGCCCATCCACGTCCCTCACTGAAGACAACGTGAAAAAAGTCGAAGATGTTGTGTTGGCAGATCGAAGAGTGACCATCAGGCATGTAGCTGAGGTCACAGGGATCTCATATGGAAGCGTTCAAAGAATCCTTGCGAACGAGTTGCATATGAAAAAGGTCTCTGCGCGTTGGGAACCCAGAATGTTAACGACGAGCAAAAGAAAAATCGAGTTGACATTTCGAGGGTCAATCTCGAAAAGTTTCAAGCAGATCAAGAAAATTTTTTGTTCCGTTTTGTGACTATGGACGAGACCTGGATCCACCATTTTGATCCTGAAACGAAACAACAATCGATGACTTGGAAGCGAGCCTCCTCACCGACGCCAAAGAAATTCAAAGTTTCAAGTTCGGCGGGAAAGGTTATGGCATCTGTTTTTTGGGACGCTCAAGGCATAAATATGGTGGAATATTTGGAAAAGGGAGCCACTATTACGGGCTCTTACTATGCAGACCAAATAAGAAGATTACGGGAGGCCATTAAGGAAAAAAGACGCGGCAAACTGCAAGCTGGAGTGCTGTTTCACCAACACAACGCACCGGCTCCCAAAGCCGCAGTTGCGATGGCTGCCATTCAAGAAACGGGATTCGAACTGCTCGAACATCCTCCCTATTCGCCAGCTCCTAGTGATTTCTACCTCTTTCCTCGGCTCAAGGAACGCCTCCGAGGCAAGAAATTCGAAGACGATAGCGAAGTAATGGCCGCTGTTGAAGCGTTTTGGGAGGGTCAAGACAAAGAATTTTTTTTAAAGGGAATCCTGGGTTTAGAAAGAAGATGGACTTGAATTGAATTGTTAGGAGACTATGTAGAAAAATAAATTATTATTTTAACTTTAATTACCGTGTTTTATTTTCATTATCATTACTTTTGGATCACCCCTCGTATACAGGTTATGTAATAAAGGTAAATACGGTTAAAATACTTTTCTAATTTCAGATTTCTGAAAAGCAGTAAAGAACATCGGTCAAATACGACCTGACCAAAATATGAAACGACCACCGATGATTGATATATCAAAAAATAGTGACTTAGGTGTAGATTAAATTACGGGGTACAACTTATTTTATTGGAGCCGGTAAAATAATTTAGCTTTGTAATGACAAACCTCATTTTCTTACTACTTTTTATAGATTTTGAACGCATCTAAACCCGTCCCGTTTTTATCTGTGGTACACGTTTCATCATAACACTAAAGTAACACTACCATTACGCGTTTAGTTTTTTGAAATACTGGATTTTATTGTAGATTTTTTATTTATTTTTGTAGTATATTATCAATAATATAATTTCTAGATGGGGATATGAAAAGTATTCCGAAATAAGTTGCAAATGATAGGTTGACAGTAAATATAGAATACACTAATACTTAGATTTTATTATGAGTGTCTCTATGCAGTCTGTGGTATTATGACACGAGAGCTGTCAAAGGGTTTTTTTACGTGGTAGAGCCATGCTATAGCTATAGCTATATTAGTAGTATAGTTGTAGCATGAATGGGTCAGCTCGACCGGGAAAGGACCACGCTCTCACAGAATACCAGCGTAAAATAGCAGCTTATCACTGCTCTGTTTCGTATGTAGAGTAGAGAACCGGAGACCCTTTTTACTGGAAAAGAGGCATTCCATCTTAATCCTCACGAGTGACACGCATCTGCATTTTGATTCGTAAGCGAGGATAGATGTAGATGACTATGGGCCACAGCAACCACTTATCGGGAGGACTGTGTGCTCGTTTGTCACCCTATCGTATTAAAAAAAAAGTCAAAACACCTGTGCCTTAAATACTTAGCAGTGAAAAGATTAGAAAGGTTATTGATTCAATTTGTGGTTTTAGCCATTGACTTGATTTATATAGTTAAGTATATATTACTGCAGAGTTTTCATATCAATTGTTGTAGACATGGCTGCAGTCATGGCTACATCATAACCTCAAAACAAAAACGTTCTATGATCCTCGGCTTTTAAATAATATATTTTCAAAAAATTATTGGAGTTTGAGTGCTAGTTAAAAAAATCCCAACTGAGAGCTCTAAATTGGATAGTTTCGTTTGATCGATTCATTTAAGTGCTACATCCATATTTGAAACCAAGGGTTCACTGCGCAAGATGGTTAGAGATGCCATACCAGAGCTTAAATTTGAAGAATAATTACACTTATTTTAAAGCGATTAAAAAATTAGCTTCGACATTTATTTATGTAGGTAGCTACGTAATTATGTGTGTATGTTAACAATTTTTTCAAAAGTAATGGATGCCATTCAAAAATATATTGATATTGCGTTTTGTTTGCGATTAAGTAGACAAAGAGCAATGGCAGGCTTTCATACATAAAATTAGTTGAGAATAAATGGTAGCGTCTATACATCAAAATATCTTAAAATGTTAAGCGTCAGTCCCTTAATTACTCTGTCAAAGAATTTTGTCCTGAGAAGGCGTCAAAAAAAAGATATTTAGATTTGAACCTTTTTAGGTTATGTTTTATGTCACTTGGTAAGAGTCATGCTTCCTGTGGTTGTTTGATGTTAGCTTAGTACATAATTGAGAGTTTTTAGATTATTGTATATCTATTATATATTTGCATACTGTAAATGTATATTTCTGGCATGGCGCCAGGGCCTTAGTGTCATAGTGATATTCTCAGAAGGGCTAGAACCCAGAGCCGTAAAGCAAGTAAAAAAGTCAGTGACATTTTGTTTTTGCTAGTGTTGCCATAACATTAAATTGAATTGTTACATAATACTATGATTACGATAATGTATTATTGTAGGAAGTTTTTTTGTAAGAGACTTATTCTTAACTATATCACTTTTATTTTTATTATTACTAATAGTATAGTTATTACTAATAATAACTTAATATAAAAATATTTTGTGTGTTGTGTTGGTAGTCTTACAAAGTGTATACGAAAATAGTATGAATATACAAAATGGCAACACTTGAATAGAGTAAAATAATTTAAATGAGTTTTGGCGGGAAATTAACCGGCGGCGGTTTGCTGCTCCTGTATTATTGTTTAAATAATGGTTTGAAGTGGACTTTGATATGTAAAAGTGTTGCGATTTTGTGTATTAAGTGTCTACGCATGTGAGCTATTAGTGGAAACAGTGAAACAAGTGCTCTGATGGTGATGGATTCTCAAGATAAGCTGTTTGTTTGCATAGGCACCTTTAGATACCATCGTCAACTATCAGCTGTCTGCTGGATCAAGTTGCCGCCAAAATCTCCCAAGAACTGCACAATGTGACGCATCAACATATTGTGAAGCAGTATACTATGAAGGAGTGGGGAAATTACAATAAACCGAATAAAAATACTTAAGACTTGGCCTAAAGGTCTAGATACCAGGCCATAAACTCCAAAAAAAATTAAATCATTAGATATTCCCAAAAATGTTTGTTTTTTTCTGTGGCTTTAATTAAAATACATATTTATTTAAAAAATCATAGAAAAATAATAAAACTCATTTTATATATAACTTATTTCTAGACGCGATAATTATTGTCAACTATTTTTCTGCCATTGTTCTTTAGCTTATTAAACAGCTTGCGCAGCTCGTCCGCATGGGTAGCGGCACGCGCGCTCGCGGCCTCCAGCTCGGCCGCCACTTGTTAGCAGTAGTTAGACTGTGGCAGTGGTGAGACGCGTTACCTGATGGCTCGCTGCAGCTTGCGCAGCTCGTCCGCGTGGGTGGCGTCACGCGCGCGGGCGGCCGTCAGCTCGGCCGCCAGCGCGTCGTGCGCGTCACGCAGCCGCGCCAACTGGCCCTCCAGCCGCCCGCGCGCCGTCGCCTCCAGCTCCACGCACGACTCCAGTTCCTGCCCGCCATTACACCACTCATTAATATTACTATATTCTTTTTTTTAAAGAATAACAGCAAAGATATTAACGTTATTAATATTCCCTTTATATCACTCCTGGTAAGCTTATAATGCTTGTGTTAAGAGTGATTCTTGACAGTAGTCGAATGGCGGATTCGAAACCACGACCTTTTGAGTTCGCAATCCGCACCCTGCTATTGCAGGCTACTTTCACTTTATGCAATATATTCATAACAAGCTTAAAGTAAAAAACTCATTAAAAAGTGAGATGTGACTGTGTCATAGACACGGCCGTGTGTTTGACGTGAATACGTGTACGTAAAGAAACGACCGTCGACGACGGCTCGTCACCATCCTCATTCAACGTAACAAATGTTTTGATCATTTAACTATCGACTCGCAAAATTAAAGGACAATGGTGACAAAATGGTTGGTGGAATTATCAAGTGTCTATTTGAGTCACCATTACAGATATCAATAAAATAATTTACGATGTTTTTTCAAATTAAGCTTAATGTCTGGAAGTCTGGAAAAAATCATCATACATAATTTAAAACTCAATTGACTAGCGGATGTAGTTGTTACGATTCGTCAATTAAGGTGAAAGCGCCAGGGTAACCCGCGTAATTTAAATTTGCTGTGCTGTCGTCTGCATAGCAATTAATGTTACCAGTTTGCAACATATAATTTATATGCAGGAGAAACAGCGTTGGTGATAGCACGCAGCCTTGTGGAACAGCAGCGTTGATAGGCTTGAAATCGGAGCATGTACCGTCTACTACGACCTTGATGCTCCAATCAGCAAGGAAACTGGTGATCCATTTGCACAATTTCTCGGGAAGCCCATAGGAAGGAAGCTTCGAAAGAAACGCTGTGCCAAACCTGATCGAAGGCCTTTGCAATGTCCAAATTAACAGCCAATACTTCCCCCTTGGACTCTACTGCCTCCACCCATCTATGAGTCAGGTAGATCAGAAGATCACCATCTGATCGACCCCGTCGAAATCCTTACTGGCGATCACTAACCAGCTGATGAGCCTCAAGGTACCTGGCAGTTTATAATGGATTCCATTATTGATGGCGATAAGCCTGTAGTTGGACGGGTCTGAGCGGTCGCCTTTTTTAGGGATCGGGTGGACCAAAGCTGTCATCCATGAATTTGGGACTACGCCTTGGGAGTAGGAGTACCGCAAAAGACGCGTTAAAACTGGTGCCAACTCCGGAGCACACGTTTTCAGCACAATGGGAGGGACTCCATCAGACCCACTCGACTTGCTGACGTCCAGGGAGAAGAGTGCTTTGTGAACCGAGCGCTGCGTAAACCGCTCATCCTTCATGGAGCACTCACACCGCGGGATGGTCGGCGGTGTGCTCCCCCGTCATCTAGAGTCGAGTTGGACGCAAAGAGAGAGCTCAACAGTTCGACGTTCTCCTTTGCGGCATGGGCCAGTGAGTCGTCCTCTCTGTACAGAGATGGCTGACAGAAGTTCCCTTGGAGAGCCTTGGCGGGAGACCAGGATCACGGGTTCCCGAAGGAAGGCGAACTAGCTTCTCACCCATCCTGCCGATTTGCTCAGACCTTGCCTTGGCAATGACGCTTTTGAAGGACTTTTTTCTTTTTAAGAGCGTTGGTGTTTACATCCCGAGACGTTGATGCGTCAGCCCCGGCCCGGTAGCACTCCTGCTTATAGCGTGATGCTATTTTACAAGAGTGACCAAACCATGGCTGGGATCTGCCTCCGGTGGGCACCAGAGAGGATGGAATAAAAAGATCCATACCCTGAAGTATCACATCAACAAGAGAATCAGCAACAACGCTGGGATCTTCCGGCGAGAAGCAAACCCACCCCTAAGGGTAGGATATAAAAAAGACCGCATTCCGTCCAAATCGGCCGACCTACGAGTATAGTGCCAAACGCGGCGGCAAGCTACAAATTGCAACTGCGATTGGAGCGTGAGTGGCACCGTACTCCGGATCAGACAATGGTCCGAAGATCGGGGATGGTCGTCGCTGTCTACGCGCAGCCATAGAATGGACAGTTCCGTACCTTCAAGAATAGCAAGGCGTTGAAAACGGATGTCCTCTCTGACGTATACGCAAATTCTAGCCCGGGGCACAAAGGAGTGTTCTAATTTCTACCCCGGGTAGGGGAGATATGAAGTATCAGCCGGAGAGGACACCTGAGTCTCGGTTAAAAAGAGCAAGGCCGGCTTCGCCATCTCTAGATGGTAATGGACAGCGTTAAGGTTGGAATGAGGTCCCCTGATGTTGCAAAAATTCACAGATAGCGGGACAGGGGTCGTCTTGGTTTTATTGCTCCGCTTGCCCCGAGCAGAATTTTGCCCCCCCCCCCCCCCTCTAGAATACGCGGGGCAGCCTGATCACCCACGCTCAGGAGTGGAGCAGTTTGGTCGCGGATGCTCAGCGAGGGATTCTCCAGAGGTGCTGGAACCCTCCTGGGGTAGTCTTTTATTTAATCCCGCTACCATGTTGATGGGGGGGGGGGGGGGGGAATTGGGCCTCTATATATAATATAATATATATTCTTTACGAAACATCACTCTTTTTTATTTTACATTTTACATAAGTAGGTTAAATAGTAAAATACTCATGCAGACCCGGTGGTGAAACGTTAAAAGAATACGTGACGTTTTCGTTTTTTAATACCGTATTTAATTACTTCACCACGTCGATAAATTAGTTTCAGTTGAAAAGTAAGCAGTTGAGGCTATGTTTACCTTGTTGCGCAGCTCGAGGCGGCGCTCGGCCTCGCCGTGCGAGTGCGAGTGGCCGGCCTCGGCGTGCGCGAGGCGCTGCGCCAGCTCGGCGAGGCGCTCCTTGGCCTGGCGCGCGTCCTCGGCCGCCGCGTCGCCGCGCGCCGCCGCCTCGCGCGCCTCCGCCTGCGCCGCCAGCAGCGCGCTGCTGCAGCTGCGGTACTTCTTCAGCAGCTGCACAACCATACTCATACATTACACCTCTCACTATACGAGTAGTAGTTTTGTGAGTACAAAGCTAGATCATAATCCTCGAATTATTGTATTGTTATCGGTTCCTAATATCTCTGTAAAATTTTAAATTATTGACACTCCCGAAAGTCAAACGGCATACGTACGTACATACATACATACATACAGATCAAATAATAAAAAACAGACTGCGTAAAAAATATTCAGACTACACATATACGCATGCGCACTACGTTGTTTAGACTACAGAACGTACCAAAGAAATAGACACACATACAGACTCTTGAAAAATATTACCCTCCTTCTGGGATAATCGGGTAAAAATGAATACATTTAGTGTTGATGACTTTGTTAATGATAGTCTTCGATCATCATCATCATCATTATCATCATTACAGCCTTTCATAAGTCCACTGCTGAACATAGGCCTCCCCCAAGGAATGCCACAAAGCACGGTCCTGAGCCACCTGCACGACTCCTGACATCGACTTCCTGGATGTCTTACCAGGTCGTCACTCCATCTCGTGGGGGGTTGCTCTACACTTCGCCTACCGGTACGAGGCTGCCACTCAAGAACCTTTCCTCCCCATCGGTTGTCGATTCTTCGAGCTATATGGCCGACCCACTGCCACTTCAGCTTACTATCCGTTGGGCTATATCGGTTACTTTGGTTCTACTGCAGATATACTCATTTCTAAGTTTATCACGCAGAGAAACCCCGAGCATAGCCCTCTCCATAGCTCGCTGAGCGACCTTGAGCTTCCTCATACGGCCAGCAGTGAAGGACCACGTCTCAGATGCGTAAGTTATCACTGGCAACACGCACTGGTTGTACAATTTCGTTTTGAGGTATGTTTGACGAGAAGATGTGTCGTAGTTTCCCGAACGCTGGCCAGCCGAGTTGAATCCGTCGATTGACCTCTCGGTCGAAGTTGGACTTACCTAGTCAGACTATTTGTCCCAGGTAAACATACTCATCAACAACTTCGAGCTTAGTGTTCCCAACAACTACCGGCATAGGTGTGACATGGACATTAAACATGATCTTTGTTTTGTCCATGTTCATCCTAAGACCTATTCGTTGGGAGACACTATTGAGGTCATTGAGCATTGTGCTTAGGTCCTCCAGCGATTCTGCTATAAGAACTATATCGTCGGCAAATCGAAGGTGAGTGATGTACTCGCCATTGATGTTAATACCGTATCCTTTCAAGTCCAGAAGCTTGAAAACGTCTTCCAATGCAGCGGTGAAGAGTTTCTGGGATATAACGCCACCCTGTCTTGCAACTCTCTGCAATTGGATAGGTTTCGTACTCTGGTTATGTACTCGGAAAGCCATCGTAGCTCTACTGTACAAATACTTCAACACTTCGATATACCGACAGTCAACTTGGCACCGCTGAAGGGACTGCAGCACCGCCCAAATTTCGACGGAATCAAAGGCTTTCTCATAGTCCACATACGCCAGGCATAGTGGCAAATTGTACTCCTCGGACTTCTGTACAATTTGTCGAAGGGTATGTATATGGTCTATGGTGCTAAAACCCTTTCGGAAACCAGCTTGTTCGGGAGGCTGGAAGACGTCAAGTCTGCGCGCAAGACGATTTGTAATGACTCTCGAAAAACGCACGTAGACGCGGCTCAGAAGGGAAATCCGTCTGTAGTTCTTCAAGAGAGCGTTGTCACCTTTCTTGAAGAACAAGACCACCGCACTTCTGCTCCACGCCTCCGGTGTAACGCCCCATGGAGGACGTAATTAAAGAGCTTCTGAAAGACTTCGAGTACCGGTCTTCCACCCGCTTTCAGAAGCTTCGCTGTAATTCCATCCTCGCCTGGGGCCTTGCCGTTTTTAAGGTGCTGGAGAGCCATTCTAATCTCGCTCAGACTGACGTCCGGGATATCTTCGGAATAGTGTCGGATAAGACTCGCTCTTGGATCGTTACTCACACTTGCGTGTGGCTCCTACGATGACGTGTACAGCTGCCCATAGAACCTCTCAATCTCACTCAAAATCTCAGGTGCCCCGGAAATGATGCTGCCACATTCGATCTTCAGCTTTGACAGTTGGCTCTTTCTGGCAGACAGATCTCTGGCAAAGACTTTGGAGCCTTGGTTCCGCTCGATCGCTTTTTCAACTGTATTGAAGTTGCGTAAGTCCCGCCGCATGCATTTGGAGATCTGTCTGTTCAATTGCCTGTATGCTGTCAAATCTGTTGAAGAATGTAGCTTCATCTCCCGTCTAACAGCCATGAGATTAAGAGTGTGATCGGAGAGTTTTTGTGTTCTTCTGCGGCGGGTCTTGCAGAACTTAGCTCCGACCGCATGGACAGTTTCCACGAGCTTGTCATTCATATCGTCCACTTTATTGCAGTCTTCTAGGCACTGAAAACGGTTTTGTAACTCGAGCTGAAAGGTTTCGGGACTTTGGAACAGAGCACGAGGGGGACGGAGCGTTGACTTCATTAGACGAGACCTCTCCAACTTTATTTATTTATTTATTTAGGCTTACCAACTAAACACATACAAAACATTATTATTAAACATTTGCAGTTATAAACAAAATTATACTATATATGTATTTAACTTAAAGGTATGCACAACATTTCAACATGAAACTTAAAATTAGTTATGAAATTAACAGATAATAAAATATGATATAAACACAAAGACTATTCTATGCAATACAGGTAAAATTATAATTTTGTAGAGAGCTTAACATTGTATAATTTAAAGTTTTAATTTTCAGTTTGAGTGTAGTAAAGAAATATTTTCTTTTTTAAGGAAACCAGACTATCACTAAAGAGATCTATATTACATTTATCGACTATATCATTGTACTTTCTTATCATAGAACATAGAGGAGAGTTGTTACCATAATTTTTGCTGTTGAAATTTACACTAAAGGGACTAAAATTACACAACCGTGCTGAAACTCTGGGCACCTTCAAGTTAATTTGTGATAGGAGGGATGGACAATCCACTTCATTATTAAGTAGTTTATGTAAAAGGCAAATTATATTATAATTAAAAATAGATAGCAAATTCTTTCGCTGCTCCAATGATAAAATTTCGAAATGCGCTAATCTTTCAGAGTATCTCCGAATTGTACGATGAACGCCACTTACATAAGATATTTTATTTAAAAATCTTTTTTAGATTCTTTCTATACGCTGAATGCTATTTTGATAAGACGGGTACCATACGACTGAACAATAATCAACATGACTGCGAACCGCAAAATAGAGAGCTTTTAACGCTAAAACCGACTTAAAATCTTTGGTATTTCTGAAAATAAAAGCTAACATTCTTAAAGATTTGTGTATGCTATTGTTAATGTGGTTAGTGAATCGCATCTGAGAGTCAATAGTAATGCCTAAGTCCTTCACTTAATCTACTTTTGCTAAATCTACCCCATTAATATTGTAACTACTTTTATATTTGTTAAATTTTCGAGAGAATTTAATATGATGGCATTTATTTATATTAAGAGACATTTTATTTTGCCGCCACTATTCTGTAATTCTATCTATATCCTCTTGAAGTTGAATTTGGTCTGTGTTATTATTCACAATTTTCGATATCTTTAGGTTATCTGCGTATAATTCAAATTCGGAGTTACGGACACAGTGCTCAATATCATCGATAAACATAAAAAAAGTAATGGGCCAAGGTGCGAGCCTTGTGGAACTCCAGACGTTGGGATAATTTCTCTAGAAACAAAACCGCTAATGACTACTCTTTGCGTTCGATCTGTGAGATATGAAGCAAACCAATCTAAAAAGCATCCATGTATTCCAAATAATGTGTGTAGTTTTTTGATTAGAACTGAATGATTACTGTGTCAAACGCTTTACTAAAGTCATTATAAATACAATCTACTTCATTCCCTGAGTTCATTCTAGTAAGTGTTCTGTCAACAAATGTAATAAGATTGGATGTAGTAGAGCGTTTTTTAAAAAATCCGTGTTGTTGATCAGCTAAAATATGTTTTATATGCCAAATCAAATAAGTACAAATTAATTATTCAAAAACTTTGCCTAAAACTGGAAGAATACTAATAGGTCTGTAGTTGCAGACATTACTTTTATCGCCTGATTTATGTAATGGTATAATTATGGCATCCTTCCAACGTTTCGGAAATATACCTTCAGATAATGATCTATTAAAAATAGTATGTATTCCTTCAGAAACAAGGGGTGAATCCCATCACTTCCAGCGCCCTTAGTAATATCTAGAGCCTTTAAACACTTCTCAATACTGTCATTATTTAAATAAAGATTTCCCATGGAGAAAGCAGACTTTGGTATTTCCATTTTGTTTATATGTAAACTAATATCAATAGGTTTATATACTAATTCAAAATTTTCTACAAATAAGTTCGAAATTTTTTCTCCATTATTAGCTTCTTGTCTCCAAATTTCATATTAGACGGTATACAACCATTATTCTTACATTTATTTTTTATATAAGTCCAAAAGTACTTGGGGTCTTTAATCACACTGTTAACAACATTTTCAATGTATCTGTCATAACATTTTTTCAATAATGTTTTAGTCCTAACTTTTAAGATATTGTATTTAAATTTATCTAATTCATTCCTGTACTTTTTAGCCTTTTGACGAGATTTTTCCTTTTCTCGTAATAGTCTTAATTAGTCGTAATAATCCTAACCATTCGGTGATCGCTACCAGTTTTCACCCTCGCGATCACGGAGACATCACTGAACAGTTATCGTCTGGTCGTCATAATGAAGTCAATCTCATTTTTTGTGGATCCGTCGGGGCTCGACCAGGTCCACTTCCTGTGGGGCCGCTTCTGGAAGAAAGAGTTCATCATAAAGAGTCCCTCTTTCTCTATGAATTCGGCCAGCTGCTGCTCTTTTGGCTTCCGTTGCCCTATTCCGAATTTCCCTACTTTCAGCTCACCGTTCTCTCTTGTGCCTAGTTTTGCGTTGAAGTTTCTCATTAACACCGTACAGTGGGTTTTGGAGGAATGCATGGCTATGTATATATGTGTGTCCAGTAATCCAGTTTTATGGGTTAATGAATTAAGAATGAAGACGGATATGTGATTGGTGTGGATTAGATATAATTTTTTCGGTGATTAAATTATAATTTTTTTTTTCTCGATTAATATAAAGTATTTTAAAAATTCGATTAAGAAGATAATTGAGTATTTCAAGAAGTATCAACTGGAGCGTCGAAATCGTTTCTAAAATATGATATTTTTGGTTTGGTTGATGTTTAAAAAGCAAAAGTGAAGTGAGAGGCGTACCTCGGCGGCCTCCTCCTCCGCGTCGTCGAGCGCGGCGCGCGCGGCGGCGGCGTCGCGCGCGGCGGCCAGCGCGCGCTCGTGCGCGTCGGCCCGCGCGCGCGCCGCCTCCTCCAGCGCCGCGCCCGCCTCCGCCGCCTCCGCCTCGGCCGCCGCGCGCGCCTTGCTGGCCGCGCGCACCGCCAGCTCCAGGTCCTCCACCTGCCCCGCACCACACGCTATCATCCGGCTCGAAGGACCATACAAGTACACCGCAGAACATAATCCTCCCCCGTACATTTCTTTATAGGGAAGGTATTCGCCATAGCTTCCACGCTTGACAAGCGGGTACGTAACCACAATTTTACATTTTCAGTTGTAATTAGAGAAACGCTACTGCCTATCTCCTGGTTTGTTTCCCTCGGTCGCTTCGTACAACATCCACAGGACAGTATGGGTTTAAGCCACTTCATACCCAAATTATTATTATTTTTTATTTTATTTATTTTATAACACAACCTATTTTGCATAAATTTATTGATTCCCTGGCCTTTGGGCTAATGTAACTATGTTTCAAGAACCAATTCCTCCCCTTAAAGTTAGCCTAATCAAAAAGTCAATTTCTGTATAATAACATATGTTTATTTTATTACTCATATATGGTTATTCTAGTTTATGTACCAAATGTAATAAACTTTAATACACTCTAAAATCTAGAGTCATTGAGTTATATGTACTACGTACTAGAGAAGCCCTTCCGAACATTGACTATGTTCAACTGAACTATAGTGCAATCCATACAAACTAAATATTGCGTACATTGAAGATTTGTGAATTCCATAAAATAATAATTTTATTTAAAAATATGTTTGTTTAGATTAAATTAAGATATTTATAGTAAATTCTTATATTTATTTTATATTAATATCTTATTTTATATCAAGTTAAAGTCTTCTCACATGCGCAAGTACTACTCCCGCGCATGCGCGAAGACATAGAGTAGGACACAATTTTTGTTTGGAATGGCTTCTCTAGGACGTAGTACATATAACTCAATGTCTAGAGTAATTTTAAAACACCAATCCCTCTTAATCTATTCGTAATATCTGTTATAATGTTTTGAAGTTATTTAAAAATTTCAACAACATTACATTTTGGAGAAAAATAATATTATTGCTATTTTCTGTAATATTGAGTAATAAATAAAATCTATTTCAATCAAGATTTTATAGGTGTTGTTAAGGCCAGATTCCGAGTCCATACCATACCGGTACTATCCAAAGTACCATATTAATGCGTTACCATCGAAATTACATAAATATACAAAATTTTACCTCGGTTTAATGTCAACAAGGTAAATAAAACCATTTAAAAATAATAGAAATTCACTATAATCCTTTTATAAAATTTTTATTTTAAATAAATCTCTTGAAATAGTTCAACCGATTGAATTGAAAATCTAATGAGCTTGAAGTCTTAATGTACACTTCCGAACGTTGTGATGCCCATCTCGATCGGTTTATTCGTTCTAGAGATATCGTATGACAACACACACACACCCACACACGCACGCACGCACGCACGCACGCACGCACGCACGCATGCCCGCACGGCCTGAAGTCCAGTCGACAATAGACGGAACGGCTTCCTAAGACCTCAAAACTTTGAGATCTGATGAAAACTCACATTCTCCAAGGACTGAAATCTGTAACTTCCTCTACTTTTGGAAATAAATAATTTTCAAAAATTGGAAGTTAAAAAGATGAAATAAGTAAATTACTTGCCTGATTTTTTAACTGTCTGATCTGTGCTTTGGCACCACCCTCCTTCTCTTTCTGCTCTAGCATTGTCTGAGCATCTCTGAGTAAAGCTCGATACCTCTTCAGGTCCCTGTATTTAAAAGAACAAATTTAATTTAATATTAAATCGGAGGCAAATGGAGAAAGTTTCAACCTTTGCTTTTGTTTACACTAGCTTAATGTGGGATTTAGTTTTATATTATACTAGTACCGCCTGGGTGGGATCTATTAATATGACGTCATTTAAATTGAAATATAAAATATTCATCAAACACCATTTATTTTATCAATTTTTCAATTTCACAAAAAAGTACTCCCAAGTTTTTCGGATTAAATATAGCCTAGATCTCTTCTGGCATTGATCGAGAAGTTTCATAACAATCGTTTAAACCATTAACCTGGCAGACAGGCAGAAGAAAACTTTACTTTTAATTAAACTTATGTAACCGAAAGTAACATTTTTTTTCAATTTCTTTAAAGTTTTTATAACACAGGTAAAAAGACGGTGGGTGTCGAAAGAGGAGAGGAGACTATAGAAAAATTTTACCTGCTATAGCTTCCCATTCTGTATTCGATAAGCGATACTATACATCATTTTACTTGCAAAAGTAAGTTAAAACAATGATATAAAACTAACAAGTGCACGAATGACCGAATGAATGAATGTATAGTAAGTACGGTCACCTCTTGAGCCGCTGAACGAGTTGCGCCTGTTCCTGATTCTCTGCACGCGCAGTCTCCTCTAGCGCGGCTAACCTCCTCTCCAGTTCGTGTCTTTCTCGCAAAAGTAGACTCCTCTCTGCGTGTTCACTCTCCAACTGACTTTCCAGCACTGTAAGTTAATTAAGTATTAAGTTTAAAACAATGTGCGATACAACGTTGTTACCGTGTAGTGGCGGTGTAAGAATATCCACTACCCCATGTCATTCTGTGGATGTCGTAAGAGGCGACAGAGGGAAACAAATAAGGAGATGGGCAGCAGCGTCTTCTTAATAACGACTTAAAATAACAATTGTTAAAATTAAACATTTTGTACAACCGACTTCAATATAAATAAAATGAGAACATCATCAATGTAGCTGAAGTCAATTTTTTGAGTTACTCTTATAATGCGTATTTAACGCATTATAAGAGTAACTCAAAAACTACTGGTCAGATCTTGATCAAATTTATATGGGACAACATGAAATCGGACCTAGAAAAACCTAGAAAAAGTTCTTTGGTAATACACATAAAAATACAGTCGCATTGAGAACCTCCTCCCTTTTTGAAGTCGGTTGAAAAACTACGGCTGCCAACCAGCTTGGATATGAGGCAATCTATGGGGGAGGCCTGTGCTCAGTGCAGTGAACTTTAATAGGCTGCAACGGTAATGTTCGACACAAGACTTATACACATATCGTCTGTGGTATTGCTAGTCACGTTCACAAGAATTTGAATTAAGTCTAAACTAAAAAAAAAACAACTTTTCTTGCGAGATTGGTAAGGGTTAATGAACATTAACAATGGGTAAGGATACCTCATATTATCAAGTGTTTGCCGTAAGAGGCGACGTCGGTAGGAGAAAACTGTAACAGGAAATGAGCAACAGAATTCTTGATTAATTTAAATTAATAAATAAACCTAGTTGCTAATCTTCCTGTCTAGCGTGGCATCGATAATTAATAAGGGGGAATCTTTCGATACTATCAAACAGAGAATAAACGTGGTAGAGCCATGCTGCAGCTGGTTGTAGCACGTATGATTTGACCGGGGAAGGACCACGCTCTCATAGAATACCAGCGCAAAATAGTAGCTTAATGCTCCTGTGTTTCGTATGGTGAGTGTAGAGAACCGGAGAACCTTTTCACTGGAAATGAGGCATTCCATCTTAGTTCTTCTGAATCGAAGATAAATATAGATATCTATAGGCCACAGCAGCCACTTACCATCAGGTGGACTGTGTGCTCCTTTGTCACCCATATTCTATAAAAAAAATGTGTCATCATTAGGGTCTGTGGATGTCGTAAGAGACTACAATGGGAAAGATCTTAACTGAACCAACGCGTAAGGCATCTGGCACTTAGATTATAAATCCGGCTGCTACTTTGTGACAACGACGACAAATCCTTTCCATAATACATATTATTCAGTGGCTAACGTGATGACTACGATAAAACAAGAAATATTACTTTTGAGTTTCTTGGCGGCGTTTGCCCTCGTTTCTTCCATTTCGTCGTCTCGCGCGGCTGCTTCTAGCCTTGCTTCTTTTCGTTGTTGTTCTAGGAGCATCTCTAATCTCAGCTTCGAGCTCTCCAAAAGCTGAAGTAATGTAAAATAAAATAAATAAAGGTGGCTGGAAATATATATATTTATATTTAAAGAATGTGCCAACTGCTATTTGACGTAAAAGGCGATTAATAGGATATTGGGTTTGTGATTGTGTAGGTGATGGATTACATGGTTTTCACGTTTTTTCACCTATACCTGTATTTTATAGTTAAACTTAGTCCGAGTATCCCGACATGACGCGATGTATATATATTTTTAAGTTGTGAGTGATTTTATTAAAAATTATATTAAAGAGATGTTATTAAAAGGAATGTATTGTTTTTCGTGTAGTATAGTCAGATAAACAAAGAAAGAAAGATGGAGCGCCGTGTATGTTTTGTTTAAATTTTCCTAAATGTTGGTTTGGTATTTTATTTAAATTTGTAACAAAGAAAATTTTTAGACGTAGGAAATTGACGGATACAGGTGTCTCGAGACCGTATTTGTCGGATCCTTGGAGGAGGCCTGTGTTCAGCAGGGAACTTGTGATGAGGTGTAATGAGCACCTGTATCTGTCCGGCGAGGTCGTCGAGCTCCTCCTCCTGGTCGCGCGCGCGGCGCTCGAGGTCTGCGCGCGCGCGGCGCAGCGCGGCCAGCTCGTCCCCTCCCCCGCCGCGCTCCTCCAGCTCGCGGCTCGCCGCGCTCAGCCGCTCCTCCTTGTGATGAGCTGTAATGAGCACCTGTATCTGTCCGGCGAGGTCGTCGAGCTCCTCCTCCTGGTCGCGCGCGCGGCGCTCGAGGTCTGCGCGCGCGCGGCGCAGCGCGGCCAGCTCGTCCCCTCCCCCGCCGCGCTCCTCCAGCTCGCGGCTCGCCGCGCTCAGCCGCTCCTCCTTGTGATGAGCTGTAATGAGCACCTGTATCTGTCCGGCGAGGTCGTCGAGCTCCTCCTCCTGGTCGCGCGCGCGGCGCTCGAGGTCTGCGCGCGCGCGGCGCAGCGCGGCCAGCTCGTCCCCTCCCCCGCCGCGCTCCTCCAGCTCGCGGCTCGCCGCGCTCAGCCGCTCCTCCTTGTGATGAGCTGTAATGAGCACCTGTATCTGTCCGGCGAGGTCGTCGAGCTCCTCCTCCTGGTCGCGCGCGCGGCGCTCGAGGTCTGCGCGCGCGCGGCGCAGCGCGGCCAGCTCGTCCCCTCCCCCGCCGCGCTCCTCCAGCTCGCGGCTCGCCGCGCTCAGCCGCTCCTCCTTGTGATGAGCTGTAATGAGCACCTGTATCTGTCCGGCGAGGTCGTCGAGCTCCTCCTCCTGGTCGCGCGCGCGGCGCTCGAGGTCTGCGCGCGCGCGGCGCAGCGCGGCCAGCTCGTCCCCTCCCCCGCCGCGCTCCTCCAGCTCGCGGCTCGCCGCGCTCAGCCGCTCCTCCTTGTGATGAGCTGTAATGAGCACCTGTATCTGTCCGGCGAGGTCGTCGAGCTCCTCCTCCTGGTCGCGCGCGCGGCGCTCGAGGTCTGCGCGCGCGCGGCGCAGCGCGGCCAGCTCGTCCCCTCCCCCGCCGCGCTCCTCCAGCTCGCGGCTCGCCGCGCTCAGCCGCTCCTCCTTGTGATGAGCTGTAATGAGCACCTGTATCTGTCCGGCGAGGTCGTCGAGCTCCTCCTCCTGGTCGCGCGCGCGGCGCTCGAGGTCTGCGCGCGCGCGGCGCAGCGCGGCCAGCTCGTCCCCTCCCCCGCCGCGCTCCTCCAGCTCGCGGCTCGCCGCGCTCAGCCGCTCCTCCTTGTGATGAGCTGTAATGAGCACCTGTATCTGTCCGGCGAGGTCGTCGAGCTCCTCCTCCTGGTCGCGCGCGCGGCGCTCGAGGTCTGCGCGCGCGCGGCGCAGCGCGGCCAGCTCGTCCCCTCCCCCGCCGCGCTCCTCCAGCTCGCGGCTCGCCGCGCTCAGCCGCTCCTCCTTGTGATGAGCTGTAATGAGCACCTGTATCTGTCCGGCGAGGTCGTCGAGCTCCTCCTCCTGGTCGCGCGCGCGGCGCTCGAGGTCTGCGCGCGCGCGGCGCAGCGCGGCCAGCTCGTCCCCTCCCCCGCCGCGCTCCTCCAGCTCGCGGCTCGCCGCGCTCAGCCGCTCCTCCTTGTGATGAGCTGTAATGAGCACCTGTATCTGTCCGGCGAGGTCGTCGAGCTCCTCCTCCTGGTCGCGCGCGCGGCGCTCGAGGTCTGCGCGCGCGCGGCGCAGCGCGGCCAGCTCGTCCCCTCCCCCGCCGCGCTCCTCCAGCTCGCGGCTCGCCGCGCTCAGCCGCTCCTCCTTGTGATGAGCTGTAATGAGCACCTGTATCTGTCCGGCGAGGTCGTCGAGCTCCTCCTCCTGGTCGCGCGCGCGGCGCTCGAGGTCTGCGCGCGCGCGGCGCAGCGCGGCCAGCTCGTCCCCTCCCCCGCCGCGCTCCTCCAGCTCGCGGCTCGCCGCGCTCAGCCGCTCCTCCTTGTGATGAGCTGTAATGAGCACCTGTATCTGTCCGGCGAGGTCGTCGAGCTCCTCCTCCTGGTCGCGCGCGCGGCGCTCGAGGTCTGCGCGCGCGCGGCGCAGCGCGGCCAGCTCGTCCCCTCCCCCGCCGCGCTCCTCCAGCTCGCGGCTCGCCGCGCTCAGCCGCTCCTCCTTGTGATGAGCTGTAATGAGCACCTGTATCTGTCCGGCGAGGTCGTCGAGCTCCTCCTCCTGGTCGCGCGCGCGGCGCTCGAGGTCTGCGCGCGCGCGGCGCAGCGCGGCCAGCTCGTCCCCTCCCCCGCCGCGCTCCTCCAGCTCGCGGCTCGCCGCGCTCAGCCGCTCCTCCTTGTGATGAGCTGTAATGAGCACCTGTATCTGTCCGGCGAGGTCGTCGAGCTCCTCCTCCTGGTCGCGCGCGCGGCGCTCGAGGTCTGCGCGCGCGCGGCGCAGCGCGGCCAGCTCGTCCCCTCCCCCGCCGCGCTCCTCCAGCTCGCGGCTCGCCGCGCTCAGCCGCTCCTCCTTCAGCTCCAGCTCCAGCCGAGCTTCCTGCCGCACCACAAAGTACATTACCATTAACATCATTCATTATTGCAGCTTATCAATAACTTGACACATAACAAATATTTGCTATATTATAACAACTGCCTCTTTGATCTAAAAGTCGTAAGCGCGACTGCTGATCCTATAATCCTGACTTCGCATTCCGGGTGTGACCAAAATCAGTTACTGGGTTTTATTGTTAAGAATTTCTAAGTAGCAGCTACAAGACAGGAAGTTAGCGAATTTCATCCTCGTGGCAAAGAAACGTAAACCCGTTAAGTCCCTCGTCTGTCTCTCTCTGATCGTGTCGGATTTCCGTCCCATCGGACTATGAGAGTGAAATGTATTTGCGCACACACCCATTCACAATAAACCTGTTCTGCGCAGATAACTAGTCTCCAGTTAAATTGACCCCCGAACCTATATTCGTTTTAAAGTTACAGGCTATATACTCCCCTCATTTCTGAGAGGGGTTTAGGACAAAAAAATGTCCGCCGCGCTGCCCCAATGCGTGTTGGCGAACTTCACGTGTCTTCGAAATTTTTTTTTCTTATCTCTCAGATATGCAGGTTTCATCACGATGTTTTCCCTCACCGCCGAGCACGTGGTAAATCAGTACTTAAAATTGCAATTAATCATTTCACTGGTGCCGGCGGGAATCGAACCCGGGTTGCTCGCGTACTATGAAATTTACAGCGAGCGCTAACTATCTGAGCTACCACGGCTTTCAGTTTGGAAGACATTACTTGCCATAATTGTCACGCTTTTCTGGCGAATTTACAACTGCAGTTTATGTATGTTATTTTATGATGTTATCAATAAGATGACATGACATAGGCAGGGCTCTGTCGTCTCTTACGTCACGATCCACCAAAACCACGGGAAAATATAGTATTGTGAATTCTCTTACGCTGCCACAAACGTCAGCAAAAAATATGGATGGTTCTGTTCAAAAATATGGTTCTGACATAAATACCGAGATTATATTGCAATTTATCGACATGCCTATGTGCTTCTGGAATTTTATCAAATTCATCTCTTACGAATCTTACAGGATACAATGGAATGATACCACAAACATAGTTAATAATTCAAATACAAAAAAAGGTATTAAAGTTAACACTATGATATCAAAATCTTAATATACACATAGTAACAATATGCTATGAAGAAGGCAAAAATATATTCGCAATATATTAAACTTTTATACATAAAGGTCTCTTCATGATGTTATTTTAGCATTTGACAATTAACACTTATTTCAGTAGTAGATAGGATTAGATTGAGCCTATTTGCTACTACGTTTAAACGGTGGTAGCGCTCCCTTTCCACTACTGACGGTAGCTTAGTCACAAAGTATTTTATACATAACTGACTTTTTTTCTCGTTTTTTTTTTTTAAAAACGTTACCCCCACACTAGGTTTTTCTCCTGTATTGTGTTGGCAGTTTACAAACATAGATTGCATCCAGACCCGGAACTATTATTTGTAGGCCATACAAATACTTGTTTCGTGCGGGATTCAACCCGCGTCCCCAGCGCAACAAATCATTGCTAAGCCACTGCACCACGGAGCCGTTAACGTCAGTTTTAGTTTTGTAGAACAAAACGTATACTTCGTATAAAAAGCTCAATCATATTTACCACATAACGTCCGTCAGAGTAGTGGTTGTAGTTGTAAAAACTTTTAAGGGCGAGTTTGGCGTAAACAACGAACGTTAACTTGTACTGTGCAAGTTTCTCCCAGAAAGAAGGAGGAAGGTTCGTTTCAAGAGATGGGCAGGAGCATTTCACTGATAACAGCTGAATAAAAATCACAAACTACGGTTGCCAAGCTACTTAACACGCGTGGCAACTATGGCAAATATCCCCCCTATGAGACAATCTGGACCAAAATGGGGGAGCTCCATATTCACCAGTCGACTTTTGATACACTGTCATAGTATGGTATGGTATGGTAAGTTCTCCTCAATTATGAGCTGTTGTCATGGTCACGAAAGCTAGTGGGATTTAACAATACCAATAAATTGCAGATAATACCCCATTTAGTTTTAAATTTAGTTATAATAAGTGTTTGTATACTCACAGAGAGGCTCTGCTCGAGCGCGTACTTGTCTGCGAGCGCTTGGTCACGTTCGCGCGCGTGTCGTTCGCGGCTCGCTCGTTCGCGCTTCAACTCCTCATTCGCCGCTTGAAGCTCAGCGTCGAACTTCCGCTGTCGCTTCTCCAGCAGATTGTTGCGGCACGTCTGCGGACACAAATAGCACAGATTAATAGAAGAGATTAGTGAGCTGAAATTAATGTTGCCAGTACTTCGATGAGCGGATTGGTAATTTATGTCAGCATAAATAGCACCGAGTACATAGTCTTATTTATTATTTTTTGTTGGGATACTGTCTTTCTTCTTCGACTATAGCAAATAAGAGTCCATCTACACAAGGTCCACTCCGATTGTGGAAAGAATTTGCCTCGATCGACGCGCTTCAATAACTGCGAGTAATATTCACATGTATGGGGAGGACTTCGCCAATCAGTCGCAAAAACCTCGCTACAACAGAAGAGGTTAATATCCAGCAGTGGACTATTACGCAATATGAAAATTAAGTGAAAGTACAAAAACATGTAATTTGTGTGACATAAAGGATAATTCGAGACAAGTTACCTGTTCGTCGAGCAGTGATCTTAGGTCGGCCATATCGTTGGTAAGTTTCTGCAGTTTGCGTTTCCAGCTAGCGGCAACAGCGCGCTGCTCCTCGACTTCTTCGTACGCATCTTGTACCTAAAAACAGATCGAGAGATCTTTTACATTTATGTATGCCTGGTACGAAAATTAGGTGCTTACAGGAGTTCATTTTAAATATAATCTAATATACGAGTATCAAAATTAAATATTGTTTGTTCGTATTTCATGTGCTGCCATACCGTTCATTAGATTGCTTTGTCAACTTATTGTTTGTGAGAAGGTTATAGGCATATTACAACCAACTTACAGGTTGCAGGTGGTGCGCATATCGTACCGAACAATTTGTTTAACAGTTATACATCACTCAACTTCAATGAATCAAATTAAAAATTAAAAACAATAAAAAAAAAACCATAAAAAATACATTTTCTGTGGCAGCAACCCGTCGGCTACCAGCTAGTAATCTTATATTTTAGTCGCTCTTGGATATTTTAACACTTTAACTGTCCGGTTTACAGACACAATAGTAAGACAATAGCAATGACCTATATGTAGTGCACGGGACAGCGAAAGGGTTAAACTGTTTAATTTATACCCTCGCATAATCTAATTATGATAACCATATTTTCCGACGAAGAATATTATACAAGTAAATCCCATTACTTCAATCAGAAGATAAGTAATTCCATATTTCTTTTGATTCGTTTTCAGCTTAAAATGTGTTGCGAATAGGAGTTTTAGCGAAGAGTGTAAGATAATCCTTCTCACTCCACACGGAAAATATTTGAAGTTGTTATAAAAGTAGATGTTAGAAATTCTCACTGTCTTTGACATTTTTTACTAAAAACCAGTACTTGGTTTCAATCCCAGGAGGTGTTTTAGGTTTAGATGAAAAGCGCACTGGCGTACTTTAAAAAAAAAACCTATTTACCCTTGCCTTAAAGATGCTCAATTTTTATTACTGAAATACTCTCAATTACTTTCCCTGACAGCCTTTTGAGTTCACTGCAGGATATAGGGCTCTTTAAGAAGACGTTAATAATATTACCAATCATATTGCCAAGACTAGCGACAAAGAGAGCCCTCTCAACATGGATAATGTCTAACAATGAACTGGTGAAAATTAAATCAATTTATTTAATATACGCATCACCTTATCTTAGCCCATGCTTATAACATTTATGTAATGTTCGCATAAAGCAAGAAAATCTCTTCGAGAATATTTTTAAATGGTTCAACTCTATTGTCCATCATCATCATTACGATCCTTCACAAGTCTCCACAATACACGATTCGTATCTACCTGCATCTATCAACTTTCTGCATTTCTTACCAGGTTGACGCCCCATCTAGTGGCAATTACCTATTCTCTATTTATTTAATGCCTAGCTTAATGGTAAAGTTTATCTCAATTCCAATTTTGTCATCAATTCAAATTGATTGGGAATAAACACCTCTGCTGATTTTAATCCTTATCATAAACCCAAATGAAATAGACAGAATTCTCAACACACATTGGTGCGAATGTTCAAATGATCCATTTAGATTATTGTAATGAAAATAATAAATTAACTATGAAGTGCACCATATAAGTAAGAATAAAATTATTTATATGTATAATTAATTTCATAATTCTTAATATATCAAAAAACTTCAATCATTACAACATGCTAAAAAAACTGTTGTTGTTGTCTTATCTTAGGAAAATCTAAAAATCAACAAGTCTTTTAGTAACAGAAGTTACATCTGTATTTATTTTGTAATTAAAACCGTCAAGAACACATCAGTGATTGTCAGTTGTTTTTTAAGATTGGACAGAAGCCAAATAAATTTTCAAACAAATGTATAAAAGCAATAAATTATCGGATTCCTCGGACACGAAACACGTTGTCCTTACAAATTAAAAGAGCACTGACCTGTTCAATATGTTCATCCATCACTGATTCTACTGATATTAACTGTTATAATCCTACTGCACGCTGATTCATCCTGTCCATTCTATGTAGCAATAATTCCGTTTTAAAATTAGAATTAATAGAATGATACAGGCCATTTATACAACTACTTTTTAAAGAAATCATGAAAATGTCGCATCATCCATCGTGTTTAGTAATTGGTTAAGTCCATACCTAAATTCAATCTAGTATTCTATATGAACTCAATAACTTGCACATATTAAAGAAAAAAACTTTTTGTATATTGACAAAAACGAGCGCGTTTTATAATGTTACTGATAATAAAATCATAATTAGAAACACGTTAATAACAAAATAAAGCTATGTTCAACTATGCTATGGATATGATATCAGAGATGCTATCACGCATGAACTATAATATGACATTATCAGCGTCAGTACTTGATCAAGGATGATCTGAGATAACTGAATTTTCAGATTGAGATAAAATGGTACATTTCGTTGTGCTCTACTTATATGAAACGAACTAAAAATTCGTGAATGTAATGATGTCTTTATATATCGTTAATTGAATAATCTTCGTGGTTAAAAAAATATGTACAAGTGATAGAAATATAATAATTTTAGTCTATCAAAAATTAAATAAGCCTACACACGACGACAGTTAAATATAGTTAAGTCTAAAATAAAACAATTTATCCATGAAAAAACAAAGTTACAGTTGCGCGCTAACAGGAATTCAGGAGCAGCGTCGTTACAGCCAGATCTGACTTAATATAATACTTATAATATACACAAATTACCGTGTTGTGCAGAAATGTTGTTCATCCCACAAACACAAAGTTATAACGTCATAAACATATTTGAAAGATAAATGCATTTTTCTTGTGGTAGAAACCCTATTATTATATCAGTAGTATGTACATTATTTTAAAGAAAATTGAATGTAGAATTTGGGATTAGGTACTTGTTATTTATCAGAAGTTTTTCATACTTGAAAATAAATTACACAAGCCCATAAAACAGTAATTAAAAACCAAACTGTATAAAAAAGTTTACTGAAAAGAGAAAAAAATGTATATACATCAAGTCACTCCGGTCAACTAAGGCAAATCTAACGACACCTCTCATGTTAAAATCCATCAAGCTGTTTAGGCTACAGAGCGTGCCAAAGAAAGCTTCTGTTGCAGACGGGTAAAAAGAACATCTGGATCATTATTTTGGCCAGTTTGTGGGTTGGATGAAAATTGCTTTGGTATTATACTCGCGAGCTCATTATCATTATTGCCGTTCACACTTGAAAAAAGATTCCCCTCCTAAATTTAATGGGGTATTTGGCATCGTTGCAATACTTGGCAGTCGAAGCCATGATATAGTCAAGCGGGGTGATAACCTGAGTATTTGTTTACATTTTTAGAACAGAGAGATAAGCAAAATAGAGAAAATATTTTTACAAGTTTATGATAATGATAACTTTTAATGTATATGTATTCGAAAATTGGTCAAGATAATATCACGTTCGTGATCGGTAGCTAAAGCAAAATGGGTTTAACTCATGACGATACTCTTCGGAGTATTTTTTTATTAAATCGCTACTTGTTTTAAGATACTTTTGATAATTTCTTCATATTATATTTATGTGCTATATTACCTCTTGCTCCATTAAGTGATGAAATTCAATAGTGGATTCCTGCGATGGCAGCTTAAGATTCCCTATGATATGGCTTGGCAAGATTCAATAAAAGACATTTCCAATGCGATGAGATAAAATTTAACGACTAGTTCTCTTGCCAAACAGTAAGACAAGATTTATTTTATAATCAAGTCAAGACACTACGGAGTTAAGACTTGGGAGTATTGGGTTGTATAATGTTGATAACACAAGTCATTTCCATTATTGTTTATACCGAATAACTGATTAGGTATAATTATGCTCCCACTTTATTTGCTGTTTAAAATAACCTATAGCTTAAAAATTGTCATGGAAATATTTATGCACTCCTAATATAACATAGCTTAGACCTACTGTGACGCGATAGTTTTCGCGTAGACTGAAATTATTTCGTACTTTCATATTATATTATATGGTATATGGACATACAAACATAATAATATGGTACATCTCAACCTTTTTTCAGTAATTTTATAATCACTAAAGTTATGGTGACCAAAATAACACCAGTAAATGCTACGAAGATCCAACTAATGTTCACAAATAACTATGGAAAAATATAATTATGTAAAAATTTTAGTCGATAACTTAATCTATTAACTAACTAAGGATATTGTGTGACCAAATAAGTCCACATAGATTAAATGATGTTTTAATTGATGATATAATGATGGAAGAATATGACTCTTACAACGTAAAGGATTGGTAGGTCTAAAAAAAACAAAAAAAAAACAATAGGTAATGTTACAAACCTTCTTTTCGAGTTGCTTCTTAACTGTAACCAGCTGCTCCAAGTCATCCTCGTGCTGCCGTCGAAGTTGTGCACGCAGCAGCTGCAGCTCTCTATGCGCCTGTTCGTACCGGCGCTTGTACTTGTCGCTGCCAATTCCACTTTCCGCCTCTGAGCCCTCGGAGTCGGAAGGTTCTACTCCGTTCTCCGCTGAGCGCCAGTGAAGAAGCTCTAATTCTAGACGTTCGGATGCCTAGAATGCAAATAAGTATGATTTTAATTTATGCCTTGCACGAACAATTTTATACGGTAATAGGGTTGACACTTAATGAAAACTAAAATATATTACGTGAGCCATAAAAATAAAATGATATCATTCATTCGTTTCAGCCTTTCAAAAGTCCACTGTTTAACATTGGTGCCTCGGTTCAGCAGTGGAATTTTGATAGGCTGTATTGAATCGACAGCCCTGTGGCGTACCTAGTGGTTGAGTTTCTTTCTTTTTTATAAACCAAATGTTTGTGAAAGGTACAATTATGTCTCATATCGTATTTTTGGAAGTTAGGTACTACATATTACGTATGATGTTATTATTTAAAAAAAATAGATTTTTTTTATAGGATTAGGGTGACAAACGAGCACACAATCCACCTGATACTAAGTGGATGCTGTGGCCCATAGCATTCTACATTTATCCTCGATTAAGAATCAAAATGCAGATGCACTGTCACCCCTGAGGACTAAGATGGAATGCCTCGTTCCTGTAAAAAGGATCTCCGGTACTCTACACTCATCATACGAAACACAGCAGACTTAAACTGCTATTTTGCGCTGGTATTCTGCGATAGCGTGGTCCTACCTCGATCAAGCCAACTCATTAGAGCAACAACTAATATCTGCAGCGTGGCTCTACCACGTACGGGTCGGCTTAACCGGGAAGGACTACACTTGCACAGAAAACTGTGTGAAATAGCAGTATATATGTAATGCTGGAATTTCACACAGTTCCGTACGGTGAGTGAGGAGAACCGAAGATCCTTTTGATTGTTAGATGAGGCATCCCATACTATTATTTTTTTATAGGATAGGGTGGGTGACAAACGAGCACACAGTCCACCTGATGGTAAGTGGCCACTGTGACCCATAGACATCTACATCTATCCTCAATAAAGACTCAAGATGCAGATGCGTTGTCAACCGCGAGGACTAAGATGGAATGCCTCTTTGCCAGTAAAAAGGGTCTCCGGTTCTCTACACTCACCATACGAAACACAGCAGCGTTAAGCTGCTATTTTACGCTGGCTTTCTGTGAGAGCGTGGTCCTTCCCCGGTCGAGCCGACCCATTCGTGCTACAACTATACCACTAATATAGCTGCAGCATGGCTCTACCACGTATAATAGCCATATTAGTCAAGCAGGTGAAAACGCAACTGCATTTTGATTTTAACTCGAGGAAAAGTGGAGGTGTCTTTAGGTCACAGGTACACACTAGGTACACTCACCCTCAGGTTGGACTACATAAAAATAACAAATATAAAGATAACAATGTTTAGGAAAGCTATAACGGTTATTATAATAGGAACTAGTGGCTAATGGAAACTACCTGCTGCAGTCGCTGGTTATTAGCAACCAAATCTCTATTGTCCCTCTCAACTCTCAGCCTCTCAGCCGCTTCAGCGTCAGCTCTCTCAGTCGCTAAAGCAGCCGCCGCGCGTTCCTCTGCTAGCTCACCGCCCAATTCTGATAGCTGTCGACAATAAGTATTTTGTTAGAGAAGCACAACATACATTTTAACTAAGTGTATTCTATATTTTAATTTTGTAGGTGAAAAACGTTTCTGATACACTGGTGTAAAAATAAATAAATAACATTATAAGAATAAAATTAGACTGTTTTTCTGCGTTAAGAAGACTATTTTATATTTTATTAAATTGACCTTACGTAGACGTCCGAGTATATTTTAAAATAATTAACAAGTATGTGACATTAATTATAGTTAACATTGAAATGACCTGGCATGTAAACAGAAGACGAATGAAGCAATTTAAGATATTCACAGTAAAATCATAAATATGATATATACAAGTTTATTGCAACCACAGGCATCGTTAATAGCTTCTATAACTTATCTGAATCTAACAACGGCTATTATATTAGTCTGTAAAAAGGTTTTAATTAACGCATTATTTATCATCAACCTCGACTCTGAACGGCCTAATAACAAGCTGGTAATATTTCAAACAGCGGGTTACGGTTTAAAATTGGAACGCACTGACGACGCGAGTGGGAGGTTCGTCCATAACAAACATTTCTGTGATTTGCATTGCTTGCAGCTTTACTGCTGCCAAATGTACACATAACGCTTCCTCTTAGTATAAGACCGCGTTTGCGTCAAATTATGTAATAATTTTGGTCACTCGTAAAAGTGACACTTCCGCTTTTAGTTTAAATGACAACGTTGATTTTTTTACTATGACAAACGGCCAAGAATTTCACTCATTGGTATAGAGGTTTATAAAAAACAATGAATAAAAATATTTTTGGCATCAGTCACGATACACGTTAATAACTAGCCAACGGACGCAAGTGTTAGCGCCATCGTCTGCTCGGAAAGTTATAATTTGAAAGTACAAGAACAATTTACTGTGTACGATAGGTTGCTTTTAGCTATATAAATCCTTCGAAAGGTTGTACCCCTAGAAGTAAAACTTGTGGATAATTCACCAACCTCGTCCAGTTCAGAGACGGTTGTTCTGTCTTCAGAAATTTCTCGGTTAGATCTGCAAACACTACTCGCTCTACTACCACTGCGGCTAAACAATGTGAATCCTTTAATCATGATATTAGTTGCTGATTTAGATCTACCAATCCTTTTGTTCTGACCACTGCAGTATTTGTCTAAATCCGGTTCATCTTTGTGTCCTAGCCTGCGCCATTCGTCCATAACATGATCGGTTCTTTTGAGGAAATTATCGATCTTATTGCTTAAATAGTTGGAAGACGTCCCTTCTTCTAAATGAGCAGCTACCGGCTTAAACTTTTGCCGAATCGGCTGCTTATTGCATCCCAGTACAAAAGATAGATTAGCGTCAAATACAACTGGAGACTGTTCCTTGGATCTGAGTTCTTTCAAGTCAACACCATTGACATTTTCATAAGACTGTGGGTACATTCTACGCGGTGTTGGAGTTCTATCGTACAGTGTTGAGTTCATGCTGGACGATCTAGATAAAGGTACGAAGGTGCCATTGCTACTGCACGTTGAATATTGACTTGTCGAACTTCTTATACTACTGTAAGACGATGGACTTGGTGAACGGGATACTAGAATACTGCCGTTTGTTCCGTGCCTTTTCGCAAGTTCCGCGATAGATCCTGTCTCTACTGACAATGACATGCTCCTCTTATATGAAGGACTTGGCGAACGAGTCAGTAGCAATTTATTATTTTCAGGAGTACTCTGTTGAATCGTGTGCACCTCTTTCAAGGGTTTGGTAATCAAAAGTTTTTTACCACTGATGACGCTCGCTGAAACCTTAGGTGGTACTTTTTCTTCGAAGTCAATTGGCAGCGTTTTTGACTTTTTCACTGGCAGAATGGGCCGACTTGGCGGTGCTTTAGGCGGTTTCTTTGGAGTCGCATCCAAAATGGGTGGTGAGAGAGGCCCATTGGAATTTGGCGATAGTGCTCCATTAGAATTAGGTGTTAATGTGCCGTTTGACTTTTTATTTGATATTTGAAGCTTGAGTGGTTTTCCAATACCATTTATTCCGTTGATGTTTCTCGTACGGGCTTCATTTTGTGCGTGCGGCATTGTTATATACGCTTAGATGCACTTGCGTTTTCTACAATGGCGAAAGTTTTTCCCGCGGCGAAAGTCCAGTGCCATTTCACCGTCGCGTGCAGTATTATTGTCGCGAGCGGATCGGGATGCGTCGGGACATCGGTTGGAAATAGAACCGGCCCGAGAGGGCTTCGCGGGCGCACTGCGCCGGCTAACTCGGTCGCGGGACGGTCGCTCGCTCGACTATTTTAGTTGACGTACATTTCGAAGTGCAACTGGTCCGACTTCAGAACCTTCAGAATTTTACGATACCACATTAAATTAATTATAATTCAAAAGACAAGGGACACGACACATAAATTATTGTTATGTCATCTTTACTAGATACATCATAAAGGGTATTTTTGTATTTTTTACAAGTATAGAAGTATTATAACAAATTAAGAATAACCCTGGTAGCTCAGGGGTTAAACGCTCATTGTACATTTCACAGTATGCACGCAACCCGGGTTCGATCCCTGCCGGCACCAATGAAATTGACAAATTGTTAATTGAAATTTTAAAATGCTGATTTGGCACGTGCTCAGCGGTGAAGGAAACCATTTTGAGGAAACCTGATGACCCATGTCTGAGAAATTAAAAAAATATTTATTTCGGAGTTAGGTGAAGGTAGCCAATAGGGACGTTTCCTCGCCCTAAAACTCTCTTACAAATGAGAGGAGGTCTGTGCCCAGGAGTAGAAAGCGAAGATAACTTTAATTATATAACATAAGCGTTTAAAAATACTTAATAACATGCGTTATGTTGTATTATAATGGTGTATGCAATATTGTTGTATTATACTTTATTAAAAGAAAAAAAGAAAGTAAAGAACGTAGTTTTATATTTGCAAAAAGAAAAAGTAGCAATCTATCAACGTTTCAACACCCGGCTTCACTTCAGACTCTCGCTTAATTCTTAAACAATTTCGAACATGTCAGCAATAAATTACTTTTAACAATAATAAGATTGTAAATTTCAATTCAAAATCATTTTGAAGATCTTAGCGATAATCCCCTAGACGTGAACAATATATAAGTTATTATATTTATGGGATTTATTTTTAAAACTGAAATGGCGAATCCTAAAATATATCGATTAATCGGTGAAGCTAGTACATCAGCACTCAAACGGAACAATTAGCGGACGTTGATATGATTACAAACAGCTATATTAGTTTAAAATATATATTTTGTCTCACGTTGTTTTGTGTTTTACGTTGTACTCGTAGGTGAATTAAATTGACAGAGAAACGAAGATTGTAATTTCTCCACGATAGATAAGTATATATGTACCTAATTTAACAAATATATACACGCAATTTCTAAAGTTTTCACGGAGATTCGACTATTTGACGTGTTTAATGGTACTGAAATAATACCAATTATTTTTTATATGTTCAGTGATGTCTCAGTGATCGCGAGGGTGAAAACTGGTAGCGATCACCGAATGGTTAGAGGCACACTGATTCTAAAGGTTAGGTTGGAGAGGTCACGTCTAATGAAGTCAACGCTCCGTACCCCTCTTGCTCTAATCCAAAGTCCCGAAACCTTTCAGCTCGAGTTACAAAATCGTTTTCAGTGCCTAGAAGACTGCAATGTAGTGGACGATATAAATGACAAGCTCGTGCAAACTGTCCATGCGGTCGGAGCTAAGTTTTGCAAGACCCGCCGCAGAAGAACACAAAAACTCTCCGATCACTCTCTTAATCTCATGTCTGTTAGACGGGAGATGAAGCTGCAGTCTTCAGTAGATTTGATAGCATACAGGCAACTGAACAAACAGATCTCCAAATGCATGCGGCGGGACTTACGCAACTTCAATACAGCTTGTATTGAAGAAGCGATCGAGCGGAACCAAGGCTCAAAAGTCTTTGCCAGAGATATGTCTGCCAGAAAGAGCCAACTGTCGAAGCTGAAGAATGTGGCAGCATCGTTTCCAAGACACCTGAGATTTTGAGTGAGATTGAGAGATTCTATGGGCAGCTGTACACGTCATCGTTGGAGACACACGCAAGTATGGGTAACAATCTAAGAGCAAGTCTTATCCGACACTATTCCGATGAAATCCCGGACGTCAGTCTGAGCGAGATTAGAATGGCTCTCCATCACCTCAAAAACGGCAAGGCCCCAGACGAGGATGGAATTACAGCGGAGCTTCTGAAAGCGCGTGGAAAACCGGTGCTTAAAGTCCTTCAGAAGCTCTATAATTCCGTCCTCCGTGGTGGCACTACACCGGAGGCGTGGAGCAGAAGTGCGATGGTCTTGTTCTTCAGAAAAGGCGACAACGATCTCTTGAAGAACTACAGACCGATTTCTTTTTTGATTAAAGTGTAATAATAATTAGTTTCAGTTGTACTGTTTAACTTATGATAATTTTTGTTTCGATTTGATCTCAAATAACCTTTTGAATTAACTAAATTTATAGGCAACAAACAAATTTGCGGACATAAATTGTTTTATGGAAATGAAATTAAAACTCTTATTTTTTCGAAGTAAGAAGTAAGTTCATTTGTCAAACGTTAACAAAAATGATAAGCATAAATGTTGTAAATAATTACCGTATATTAATGTTTACTACCAAAATATCCACCGACAATATTCATATCTCAATGTAATGGATGGCTTGTTTGCTTATCCAGATGCAAAACCTTGCCAAATTGTCGGATTAATTGAACTTTCCATTATAAATACACAACTTATACGTGGTAGAGCCATGCTGCAGCTATATAAATAGTATAGTTGTAGCACGAATCGAATGGGTCGGCTCGACCGGGGAAGGACCACGCTCTCACAGAATACCAGCGTAAAATAGCAGCTTAATGCTGCTGTGTTTCGTGTGGTGAGTGTAGAGAACCGGAGACCCTTTTTACTGGAAACGAGGCATTCCATCTTAGTCCTCACGGGTGACAACGCATCTGCATT